CTGCAGATACTCCACCGAAAGCAGATATGGCACGGGTGACTTCGTCCTACACCGTTATTAATGCTTCCGATATTCTGGAGGGATATAAGTTCGAAACTTCTAAAAGCCCCCAACTTCGCATGTATCTATTCTCGACCATCAGTTATATGTTGCAACGCTACCTCCATAAAGTGCACCAAGTGTGATATTGATATTGACATGTTTCTTATGAAATCCATTTACATTCATATCTTATGAAATATCAACCCAGCCGAGTAATTTTCAACAGTGAAAATTGTAACTTCTTTAACAATTCGATCTTGCCTGTAAACCGGCATGCCTCATGTAACAATCTGTTATTTGAGAATAAATTATTATTATAACTAACAAATCAAATCGTTGCTTCGGCTCCCATCACCTTATTCTGGTCTGATGTGTTTGTAAACTATCCCTGTCGCATGTGACTTACCAATTGGAAGACATTATTATCCAATTATATCAGCGTGACTCATAAGTTTTATTCATTTCGATAAGACACTCAATGATGATCGGTATGTTTGTGCGTCTAACTTGATGACTGCAATTCCCTTGATTATTGTACAAGTCTAATTGATTTTACGTTTAGAAATAGGCAAAACTTAAAGCTACGTTGTCCTTGTCCTGACTATGGCTTTCACATAGACTCTGGGATCATCAGTATCACCTTTACAGTTCGGCGGAAGCAGCAACTGAATAGATCCCGTGTTAGAGTTAGAATCAGCCTAAGCACGCTTAGCTCAGATAGGAAGAGTAATTGAGTTAGAACGGTTTCGTCAGAAGGGAAGAGAACATTAAAATTAAGTTGTGGCTGACAGGGTGATGTCGTATGAGTCTACATCCGCCTCACATACAGTTGACATTCCTCTTCGAAAGGACTGGATAACAATGATATCTGAAGCTTAAGACCTACCAAAGGGAGAGATCATAAGGTTTGACGCTAATTTCATGAACTATTTGAGTTCCATACGAAATTTCAAAGACTGTTTTGATGAGAGCATTGGAACTCGATATAGGTTAAACTGTTTGGTTCAGTATTGTGGTGGTGAAGCTAAGGCTTGTGAATTGCTCGAGCAAGAAGAAGGCTATAGTAAAGCGTTAAAGCTTCTCGTTGAAGCATTTGGTCAGAAGCACAACGTAGCCCATGTATTTATTGGTAAGATGCTGAGTGCCCATGACATTAAGGAGACTGATGCAGATAGTTTAAGAAGGCTGCCTCATGAGATGCATATTTGTGAGCTAACGCTCACACCGATGAACTATTTATCCGATCTTAATCATACAAAAACCATCGAACATATGTTTTTAAAACTCCCGCGACACTTACAGAGAGAATGGATTAAAGTGGCATGCAGAATTTTTAAGAGAGGTAGAAAGCTTTCATTCAAGGACCTTTGGGAATTTGTGAAGAAGTCGGAAATTGCTAATACTGAATATGGATTACCTGTCAGTGGTGATCTTTCTAATCGCAACCAACGGCAATCGGTTGCTGTTACTAAAAGAAAATATAAAGTGAGAGTGTCGTTCGCTAGCATGAGTGGTTCTGATGTCGCTTCACACGTAAGACCAATGACTATTGCGTTATTATCTTTATTATGTACTGGAAGCCCTCCCTAGGCCAATGTGAAAGGTTTAGAGGTAAGAATGGCAACGAAAGGATAGGGTTTGTATTGAAGAAGCTGTGTAATGTCTGTCTGATGGCGAATCACATAACAAGAAACTGTTGGTCACTGAGGTCATGTGCCGTCGAAAGATGTGGCCAGAGACACCATATATTATTACACAGGAGGTGGGAAGAACAGAGAGATAGCAATAGTAATGACACCGTTAACACCCAATTATGTACTAAGAAAATTGTTAAACGTGTACACAGATAAGTAGCAGTTGTAGTAGTGCCTGTATTGATAAAAAATGGAGAAAGAAAGGTATAGACTTGCGCTGACCTAGATAGTGACTCAGACGCTTCGCTTATTACAGAAGATATAGAAAGAAGGTTAAATTTAGAGGGAGAGTTCAAGATGTTTTTTTGAAAACGCTGGATAGCCAGTCCACATTTCATTGTAAAGAGGTTCGACTGGAAGTTTCATCCTTAGATTCGTCTTCATCGTTTAAAATTCCAAAGGTACGGACAGTCGAGAGATTACCTGTTGCGTAGAACGGCACCAACAACATCTCAGATGGCATCGTGATCTCACATGTACGGTGCGACCCTTCCTAGAGTTAGCAACAAAGACGACAAAGTACTGGTAGGGTACAATGTACCTGAGGCAGGTGAGATAAAAGAGTGGGAAGATCTGACGAACCATACGCCAGAATAACCCTCTTAGGGTGGACGTTGTTTAGATCTTTAATTGAGACCACGAGAAACCTGGGTATCATAAATTATCTAAAGACGAACTAGAAGCTAAATTAGACCAGTCATATATGATGGACTTTGAAGAAGACTCGAATCACTGTGTCCATGTCGGTTGAAGATCGTAAAGCCTTGGATGCAATGTCCAAATCTACACAGTTAGTGAACGAGCATTACCAGATAGTTTTGCCCTGGCATCACCGACAAAGCCTACCTAATATTAGAAAACTAGCTGTGAGTAGATTAAGTTACTTAAGAAACCGACTCATCTATGGTCAGAGGTTGTATAAGGAATATGTTAATGTGATGGCACAGTATGTTGAACGGAGCTACGTCCTTGTTCTGACTATGGCTTTCACATAGACTCTGGGATCACCGGTATCACGTTTACAGTTCTAGTAGTATATCTGTAGGACAAATTAAATTCTATAAATAGGCTCCAATATCACATAAACCTGATAGATAAATTTGTCTTCAGTCCGATAAAATATATTCCGTCCCACAGCCTCTCCGACAAACTAAAACCAGAGTTCCCCAATCGCAAGGTCCGAATGTTTCGACCGATAACGGCGGTGAGGCGAACAAACTTCTGGCGGACAGAATTTTAGACATTTCAACTCCAACATTTCATCTAAATCAACGAGAGCTTCATTTGCATTTCATCAGGGCTCTCAGAAGTGAACTTCAGCTACGACTTGGTATGTCAGAAACTGCAGCAAGTAAACAAGGACACTTCCTTCTGCCTGGAAATGACACATCCAGCCATATTGACATAAGTGGCCTCAATCTTTACAAAACTACATAGCGTGATGTTCTCACATTCACTAACCTGAGGCACGGCATCAGGAAGCTGGAAGCTGACTCACGTTGCACCAATTTCAAAGCGGGTCTATCTAGCGAACTTTCAAGCTATCAACCAGTAACACTTTTCTCGATACCCTCAACAATTATGGAGTCTATGTGACCATTTACTATCCATAAGCTTCTTTGCACCCCAACACTATGGTTTCAAGAGGTGTCTTCATTGTATAAACAACCTGCTGACCGTGGTGGACAAATGAAAAGCACTCCTTGATATTGAAGGGAAGTGTGACGTCACACAACTTGACTTTCCTAAAGCTTTTGATGAGGACAGTCTTACTTCCTACCAATAACTTCAAAAGATTTTCAAGCCACCATCAATTGATTGGCCTACTTTATATGAATAATCGGCATTTTAGAGTCACGGTAAACTTTACTTTTTCTCACTCTATAGAATGTTCTGTGGTGGTTCTCCGGAGTTTGGCACTAGAACTTCTCTTAGCTTGTATAAATGACCTTCTTCAGCAAGTACCGTCAAATTTGACAATTTTCGCTGACGATGTGAAACTCTGGAGAGACGTTTTCGACTAAAAGGATAAGGTGGCACTTCAGGAGGATCTGATTCGACGTCAAAGTTGGACAGACGACAACGGACTTGCCTTTATCACTTAAAAGCGTGAATAAATCCATCTGAGACATGTTGAAGACTACAAACACAACTTGGTTATCTTCCCTTTTGAGGTCCCCTAAATGAAAAGGGTCTAAGAGTGTTGGTACCCTATATTTTAAGTCCTACACTAACTGAGATAAAAATGCCTTTAGAGCTAACCTTGCATCATTAATATTGAAAAGCTTTTTTTTCCTGTTCGATGGGGGAACTTTCTATATAACCTTCAATTTTTATTTGACCCTATCTAGAGTATGGAAATATGGCGTTTCACTCCCTCCAGATGGATAAGAATACATTGGAACGTATCCAACGGCAAGTCACGAAATCAGTTACGGGACTGAAAGTCATGCCTTATAAAGAGCATCCTGTATCACCAAACCTTCACCCATCAGAGAATAGTCGCCTCAGAGGCGACCTTCTAATTACTTGAAGCATCCTAAATATTCTTGGACATCCCCATAAATGCCTACTTAAGCTCAGTCCCAACAAAAGTCCTGGTAGTAACACTCAGAAATTGGAGGCAAAACATAGAAGAATAGAATAATAGACACACCTACTCCTCAAAAGTATTCAAATTCTGGAACTCGCTACCATCTGAGCTGGTCCAAGTGACTTCCCAGGAGTTCTTCAAGAAAAAACCTAACATATACCTAAGGACTAAGGACAGTTTTCTTGCCCTTTTGTCATTAAATATATCTAGGTTCCTGTCTGGTGACATTGGTGATCTACTGTTATTTAACACGTGAACGTTATAAGCTAAAGCTTCTTTCGTTGTGTCTAGAATCATTTGAACCATCTAAATTTGAGCCGTAGTGGGACCGAGACCTACTTTAGGATCAGTTTTCGTAACAGAATATCTGACCTTTAATACAATACACAGGAAAATTAAACCTTTATCCGCGAAAATCTCTCACGATTGATAGTGAGATATTGATGATAATTGAATTCACGATGACAAAACTCTAAGATATGGTGTGATCGGGATTTTGATTTGCTTAGAGAATGCATGAGTTCAATCAAACAACAAAGAGGATAAACAATTACAAGAAAGAAGAAGCGCATTCTCAAGTTTATAAAGTGCGTACGAATGAATTAAATTTGCAAGAACCAAAACTTTGCCAATGTATTCAGTCATGTGGAAAATGTAGTCACCACATCGATGCCCTTGAAATGACCTCAAAGCGCTCACAGCTGTTAACCATTACGTAGACAAATAGAAGTATGGCAGTTTTTTTTAGAAAAATATAAATCCCGTAAACATGCACTGACTTCGTATACTTTAGAGTTTATTTATGTTCCACCTATTATATCAGCGCTAGAATTTAATCATGTCTGGATAAAATTAGAAGTCCCTTTATATCACAATGCTAAATTTAGCATTCATTCATTGAATTAGGTTACTTCCTGAAAATTTCAGAACAAAAACACAGGTGAAAGTGCAATTGACGAAATGTGGTCATAATAAGAATGTATTTTCAAGAATCATGCAGAATTTGTGGTATCAAGATTTACATACTATTGTGTTGTTTCCGGAAATATAACCCAATCTGCCTATCTTGGGGAGAATTTTATCCGTTTCGGGGAACCCTCTATGGAAAATTTTGAGGAAACGGCATCAGAACCTCAATATTTTTTATAATTTTATGACACTTTGGGGAAGTCCGTCTGCATAATATAATAAAACCCCAAAAGTTTCCGCAGTTTTGGGGAAATTCTTCGAAATGTATCGTTTTAACGCGATATTTCTCCACAGTGTTTGACAGACCACTGGAAAGTCTAGCGATTTAATAATAAGTACTCAAAAGTTTCTATAGAAACCTTTTTTCAATTATTTGCAGACAGTAAATATATATTTTAGGTAACTGAATTTTCAGTGAGAATTCACCATCAGTCTTATCATTATTATTTTTATTATTTCAGCTTGTCATTTTTTTTCTGGCTTTCAACCTGTTACCCTCTAAAGAGTGAACTTGGCCTCTGTTCTTGTTCAAATGGAAAAGGAAACCATGGACTCGAAGAAACAAAGTTACTGTCTATAATAAAAAAAAGTCCCATAAGCTCTCGGTTAACCCTCCTATCCCAAAATCAATGATTTGTGGCTAAGTAAAACGGATAATCTTATTACATTCTTTAGTGCTGATTGACATAACATGCTCAAAATTCCGGAAACAATGTCAGTAGAGAAATTTAATTTGCCAGATTCCTCATATGGGGATGAAATTGATTATTATGTTGTGTCACCAACAATATTGCAGTTAGATCACCAAGAAATCATCGAAACAGACCATTCATCTGACAATCCTCTATTGAATGGTGATTCGGTAACTCAGACAGCCACTACTAATTCCAATCTCGGTACGTATTGAGCTATCTTTCAACTGTTTATATTGGAATTTCTGTGTTGTGTGTTGGTGGATAGGTTAATCCAAGCAGAACTATACATAAATGGAATATTATTTTACGTTAAAAACTGTTCAACAGATAAATGTTACCATGTGATCTAAATGTGCCGTGACAACCATTTATTTACGGCAGGTACTAGCTCCAAGCATAGTTAAAATACTGACCTAATAGTCCTTAACTCTGATTCAACAATGAACTCAGATGAACCTTGTTTTTATCAATTATTTTTGAAGAGGATCAATAAAGGACTAGTTTTTCTGGAGTTTACCTTTGGATTCTGGACTTGCAACGATGAAAATACATGTCTAGACCTTACTGGATTCAGAAAAGTCACAGTAGACAGACTTATTTGGACTGGGTTTGAATTTAAAATACAAGGAGGTAAATTTAAAGCGAAACTAACAAAGTACCTAGTGAACATTGAAGTGATTTTCACATTAAGATACCATAACATAATCTACAAACAAGAAACAGCAATGGTTTCTGTAATCGACCTAGACCAAAAGGCAAGAAGGGTTAAAGGATTTCAAAAACTTGTACTTGTACTCAAAAACTCACTTTAGTGAGCCCCGGAAATGATGAAAATCGAAAGTAACCTAGGTGTAGACTAACCAGGTGTCTATGCAGCGACCATAAGTAATCGCAAGTAACGAAATCAAAGAAAATGAAAAATCCAACATTGCTTAAATCCATCAAATAGACTAGGGTTAAAACGTACGCTAGTGAAACTGTAATGGAAAGATACAGCATTTATCCGCTTCCAATCTGAACGATTGAAATGACAAAGACTGACGGATAGTCTCTTTGGCCTCCAGCTACTTATAATACAACGACTTGAAAAAGTGATTAAAATTGGGTCTCCAAATCTTAGCAAAGTTGTAAAAATCGTCGTAGTTTTCTTCGAATGTCACTCAGCACTTCATGTCTGTACAATTGATCAATGTCATGTATGTCAGGTCGTTCTTAGTGGAGATCGGATTCTATCGACCAAGTTGCAATGTGGCTACTAGCCTAGATGATTTGACATCTCGTGAACTATGTTGAGATGAGATGGTGGTAGATGCTTGCTACGGGAAAATTTGAATTGGACGACGCAAGTATGAATACAAAGACCATAGATGGGGATGTATTTGACAACCAAAATAAATCGGAATGACATCTAAATACATTGATTTTTATATGATTTACACTGATCACCAGTCATATTTGAATACGTTAGACCAAGTAGTCCTTGTCATTAATTAGTCGATATCAAATAGAAATATGAAAGATAATTGTCAACTCGAGGAATTTAGGAAGATAAATAAGAAAAAACAAATATGGTTTATGATCTTTGGTACGCTTTTATATTCTGTTATTTATCTCATAACACGTGTTTTTTTCTCTTTTTTACTTTGGTATATTCTTTAATTTAATCATTAATTTACTGAATATAGCCCCCAAATGCCCTGGTACGGCCGAGAGCGGGGAGAGTCCGCTCTCTGTCGAAATGCTCTCACATGGCCACGCGTATATAGCCCCTGCCAGGGGAGTCCTACTCACTGCCTACTCGTGGCGGAGGTGTTGTTTACAAAATTGAGAGGATGAAAAGCGAATGTCCGACGCTTATAACTGGGTCGGTGGACACGGAAAGTTCACCTAGGGGAGTTGGAAAACTCTAATTCTAAACCAATGGTGCACATGGGCTCCAGTATCCTGAGGAGACAAATGGCGTATGAATCAATCGTTGGTCACCAACTACCATGGGACTGCATCTCTTAAAGTTGCTCAACTGCCTTGTGGATCAGACCTTTAGGTCGAAGGCTCCTGGTGTGGCTCCTTAAGAAAACCACCTGCTTCGGTCTGGGCACCCAAGCAGTATCACAGCCCTCACACAAATCAAATGAGATTTGTGCGGCGCATATGTATCTGGTTCTTCCTTGTACCAATATTTATGTATTTAAATAAATAAATAATCATCGATATACAATATCATAAGTCTCACTCAAAACAGTTAATTCCTTACTCATCATATTGAGTAATTATTATTTTCATTTGTTTTTTTAGATTTAGGATTAAATAAAGAAGCTGACTATCTATTCTCATTTGAATTAGATACTCATACACTTCCATTAGAATTATTGAATAAAGATTTAGATGGTCCAGATTTTAGTTGGACAGATTTATTGCCTGACTCCAATGAATTGGTATCTTTGGACGATATTAATCCTGATAATTTTTCAAAATCTAAACAAATTAAAGATGAGAAAGTGAAGTTTACCAATTGTCAAAGAAAATTTTTGATTAATCATTTTAATTCAATACCAAAATTTTCATATCAAGAGAAAACTATTCAACAACAAAAACTTTTATATTCATCATCATCATCATCAATTCATAGTTCTCCAAGTTCTGTCAGTAACCATCATCATCATCATGATCGTCATCACCACTTGTTCGATTCGACCGAAATTAATAATCATTTAGACTCATCCGAAATTAATGACTGTGATATGAATGATTCTTATAAAACTACTAAGATAATTTGTCTAAATAATGAAGACTTACTAAATAATAAACCTGTGAGTATTCAAGTTCGTTTGTTTGTTTGTTTTATTTCTTGTTCAGTGTTTAATTTTTTCATATGGACAGAAATACAATAAGTCAATCAGTAATAAACAGTTCAGAACCAGGTACAAATATGCATTGACATAAGTCGTTGCACTTGAGATTAGTGCAATCAGATTTTTATCAACAAGATAAATAGTAAATTAATCAAAATGGTATTATTATCAGGAATAGGATGAAAGGTTAAATATTAAGAATGTGGTTAAAAATAAGGAATGGATTTGTGGAATATAAAGTATAGAATTATATTAAGACTAAACTTCTCTAACAAAACAAATAATGGAACTTTGTCATTGTCACTGATTACGAGCCATGTAACTTGTCTCCAACTTCTGGTCAACGTTATAACAAGGACTTCAACCAGGTAGTGTTCATCTGATAGCATAGGTTAGACCAATTGTTAATGATTTCATGGACCAATACAAAGTCTTGGCCTGACTACTACTAGTTTCATTACAATCTACTCGTGAACCAGTCACCATTCCACCGTTAGGCAGATAGTGGTTCAGAAAGTGTAACACATATCTTACTGTTCCTTCCATTAATATGTGAGACAATACGATTTGATTAAATTTTTAATAATGTTATTTAGCTAAACCCTGTAGCAGTTTGTCGTTTCGCAGGTTCGAGCTAATGGAATTCGTCGCAACGCTAATTCCATTTCGAGGTAGACATTTCAAATCTTATTTTCTCTTAATCTGAGTTATGTTATTACTTCGAATCTATTTAAACCCTTTTTAAGTTGATTCTCTCCGAAGGTTTTACCCCACTACTAATACTTTCAGTTTAGCAAATACAACGCATTAGAATAATCCGTTAAAGTGTATGTGTAGCTCATTCATCAATCTTATCAGTCGGCATAAATTCATGACCTTGTTAAATGTTTTATTTCTCTAATATTGGTCATTCCTTTGTTCTACCATTTGCTACGAACAATTTCAAATCTTAAATAACTCATTTTGTTGTCAACTTAGCTATCATTTGACCTATTACGTAGTCATTCATAACAATTCTTATCTCTTCATTTCGCAGGGAGAATGCGTTAAGTTAACTTCAGAAGAATGTAAAATGCTCCAACAAATCGGTTGTCACCTACCTATCAAATTTCCATTAAGCCAAACTGATGAAAAAGCAATACGTACTGTCAGACGAAAAATTCGTAATAAACTCTCTGCTCAAGCTAGTCGTGCCAAACGTCAAAAGTATGTTACTGACTTAGAACATCGGTATTCTATGTGTACTGAAGAAATCAAACAATTACGTCGACAAGTATATGAATTGGAAGAAGATAAACGGTAATTATTTTAAATAATCCATTAATATGTGTTAGTGTACGGAGTTTTTGAATATCTCTTAATTTTGTGGTTTACATCATGTACCTACCTTGGTTAGACAACTACCGAAAAAAAGGAGCTGTAAATAACCGTTCTATCGTAGTACAATTCTCTTCCGCATTGCGCATCCACGACCATACTATACATCAGACCCAGGACCTACAATTTTATCAGATAATCACTAAGCAGCTGGCATAGTACGACGATCGAAAATTGGTTGAAATTGCAGCTTCACCTCATTAAACTCTAATAGTCACTTGGTAAATGCCTTATTTTTGTAAGTTTATTTTAAAAATTTGAATTTCCTGTTTTCGCGCCGAAAGCTCTTATTTTCACTTTCGTATCGTATTTCCCACTTGGAAGGATCTTAAACGCCATTGGTTCGTTGTATCTTTTAATATACTATTTTGTAACTCTTCTCAAGGACAATTTTATGCTGTATATATACGTGTGATTTGTTTCTGTTGTGATTGCTTGTGCTTCTGGCTGCCTGCGGAATGTATTTCCCCATTTCGGACTTGGACTTCTCTAGTTAACGGGGTTGGGACGCATCAGAATAGCTATCTTATTGGTCTTTGCTCACAGAGTCTTTGTTCCGTTCTCGGATTAGGTGAACTCGTAATCGCTCCAAACATAACAACTTATGGGTTTTAATTGCGCACTATTGAAAAGTTTCATAATGGAATGAAACAACTGTCCGGCGCCTTCTGGTTTTCAATGGTTGTCTAACTAAGGCGAGTCGGTGATGTAATCAATATGTGTGCGTCAAACTATTTGTGTTTTTAATTTAATTTTTTGAAACCTTTTTCGGTGATACAATGTCCAGAGAATAGGGCTACCAGTCAAGTCTTAATTGATTAGAGAATGAGTAACCTAAAAGCTAATTTCCTCCAATCACCCATGACATTTTATCATGTTTATTTTATTATCATTTTATCCATTAGTGAAAAAATCTGTTCGTCTGGCTAGTAGTTTTGTCTTTGATTTATAATTATTCGGGGACCATGGTCTCGTCAGTAGCCATCATTATTGAATCGACAACTGCATCTCTGTGCTAATGTGGTATGGCAACTCGAACTGATGTACGTACGTACGAAGTTCTACGTTGTGACTGACTGACTGACTGATTGTGTTATTATAAAATATGACTATAGGCAGAAGGAATGTATGTTTATTGCGAAAAGCTACAAAGTATTCACATAATACATGTACGTAGCCTTCCATTTGTATCTTGTGTTGTTTTCTGCCGTATGAACTGCCTTCCCGTCTGGTTTCCAAGTGTCATGCCGATACCGTTCTTCCGATTCACTAAAATTCCTCACAACTGTTGCAGTTTCGACGCCACTTTCAGCTACATACTACCTACAAACATCGTTGTGGGTAACATTCACTACGTTATTACCATTCTTCACATCACTATTTTTTTTTACAAAATTTCTAACTAGTGTTTCAGATTTAAAAGATTAATTGTATGTATGTTCTTTAAGCTAACAACCACTCAGGATTGAATTGGTTAATTACTGTAAAGTAGTGCTTTGTAGTTTGATAAGTTGTACGATGAATGTATTGCCAATGTAATAAACTAAACACAGTAGACCATTTAAATTCATTTGACCCCCATTATCTCACTACATCTGTTTCATTTTTCTTCCAATTTAACATCACTTATCATAATCCTGTTTATTTGGAGGTGATAAACTCAGCAAAAACAGTCTGCTCTTGGCTCTGACAGTTCAGTACATTCGAATAGGTAAAATTTATTAACCTATAAGAGAACAGTCAGTTTATGATTTTACCGAAGAAATCAGACTTGTTACTCATGAGTAGTACAGTCATAATAAGCGAATCACACCATCCTCTTAACTTTACGATGTTCTGATTAACAAATTTAGTAATGTATAAATTATTTGCATTTGAAGCTGTCGATCCTAACGTTTACTGTAGTCGGCTCAGTGAGGTTGTTAACTATATAATCGTGACAATGCAACACTTAAACATTTTAATTTAAAACTGGTTATTTATTGTAATGTTTGCTTTTCTCTACTTTATATCAGAAGCCTTACATTACATCTACGCAAATTACGATCTTATATCAATAAATTCATGAACAAACAAAGTGAAAAGTCCTATCTACCACTATATGTGAATTCCAACAATATTCATCATAATAATGATAACAATAATAATAAGGTGACTGCTAAACAAGCCGCTAGAGCGGCAGCCGGTGGAACTAGTCTCTTGTTAATGACATTTATGATATTGATGTGGACTGCTGTAATTCCAATTCCATCGGTTATAAAGACGTTAGATACTGCATCATCGATGTCTTCAATAAATTTGTTCAGTTCATTTCCAGGTTAGGATTCAATCTTATTATGTGTACAAGTTTGTGTGTTTTCTGTCTTATGTATTCGCAATGTATCTTCAATACCTATTGTCTCATCTGTTTTAAGATAAATGTATAGCGACCAACAGTGATTAGCTATTAAGTCACTAGCTCGAATCCAAGTCGCCCCATTCGATTCGGATTTAAATTGTCGGTTAGTATCACTTGCTCGCAAACCAATTATGCATATAAATATGTTTACGACAGCCTTAATAATGAGGTGAAAACAAGTGGTATATTAAAGAATTAACAAAACTAGTAAAGGAAAATATTTTAGGAGTCAACCGCTAAGGTGAAGTACGCATAGCGTGAGAACATATGGCTGTGAGAAACCCTCAATATAATACAAACAAATTACAAAAAGTTATGTGGTACAAGCTGATTTTGTAAATTTCATCGCTTCCCCAACTAAAAGCGCTCATTATATACGTATATATATTTCAAAACTCGTAGTGCTTTAACGCAATAAAGTCTAATTGTGTGATTTTTAGATAGGCTTCATTGTAAAACTGACATTAGCTAAAGCAAAACTAGAAAGCATTGAAAACATGCTGTTGTACCATAGCTCGGTACTTTTCAACAATCCATACCGAAGTCAACGGCTTTGTATGATACAATCAAAGATATAATTTTCAATTCTTATGGCAGCTACAATACTTCTTGGTTATCGAAACCAATTCAACTCTACACCTATAATTCCTAATAATTGGGTAATATATGATGCGGCTTTCATTTAATATCATTAGTGCTCTCTACTGCCTCACTTATTAATTGGTTAACTTTGCAGATTTTGACATGCCATTACAATTCTGGGAGTGGTGAGGTGACTCAATGCTTAAAGCATTCAACTTTCAGTCACTAAGTTGTGGTTCCTAATACCGCTCAGCCTACTTCGGTTTGGAAAACCAGATAATATTACCTAGCCTTGACATTCAACTAAATCATCTATGTAAACTTACTTTGTGTTTAGAATGCTATTGAAAACAAACAGGAGGAACTATTCGCTGAAGATTCGTTTTGATCCAAACATGATAAATGTATTCATTATATTTTTATATATTCCATTGTATCATCGAAAACAGCAAACTAAAAAAAAACTATGAAATGCGGGAATACATGACTAATTCACCTTGACTTACAAAGAAAACTACATCTATTTATTTTCCTAATTTGTTTCAATTTCTGTGAATGATGATATCACATTCAATTTTATCCATTAATTAGTTTATAAGCATCTGAATACACATACGCACACACACATGAACTTTGGATAAGTTTAGCTTCACGTTCTCAAATAATCTCAACGGCAGATTAAGTTATCCAAGATTTATTGACACCTTCAATAAACGTTTTTCAGTTGTTGTTTTTTTCTCCAGAAATAACAACTTTTCATTATACACATATGTATTTGCTTACAATGCTTGTGAATTAAGGCTATATCGAGGCAATACGCACAGTATGCGCATATGCCAATTAAAGACTGACCAGTTGCAGTCCTAACACATCGATGGGAACATTCAAACAAACAATACTAAATGAATTCATTTGTATTTTTGTTGTTTTCTTCTAAATATTTAATTAGGTCGGTCTCGAATGTTGATGAGTATTAACAACCCTTCAGAATTATATTCTTCCTCGTCATCTTCTTCTCAAGACCTAATTGTTAATGAATCAAAAACACTTTTATCCGATCCGGATAAAATTGTGAATTCAATTCAATATACTGTTCCAATTAGTCAGTTTGTTACACCAGTTGTAAGTAACTTTTTTGTTCGTGTTTATTATGTTTCGTTTCTGTTTTTTTTTAAAGAGAAAATCATAAGTTTAATCCTACTTAAAAATTTGTCTTCATCATCTCTATTATTTTGAATTTATCCAATCATTGAAATAGTTAAACCTGATCTTTGTATGCTACATTGTACACAACTATGAAATAGTGTAAAACCTTGATGAGGGAAAAATATGGATAGTTTTTTGCCGTTGTTTCCGAACTTTGTGATGTATTTATGTAGCTATTGTGTCTTGTTATTGGGGTTCAGTACGGTCTACGATGTCACGGATTTAGGAACAAAAACAATTGAGTTTGTCTAATACGATCGATTCTCTTCGGAACAGTCAATTATACTCAGTATATCATACCTCTGTGGCTAAGACATGAAGAAAACGGAATTGCAGTCAACTCGAGATTTATGGTAGAACAAGTAAATCAAATGAAATTGGTACGAAAGTTGTTACTATGGTAACAGAATGTGACCTTCAAGCACGTAGCAGTTTAGCGAACTAAAAAAATATGACAACTAATCAGAGGGCAAAGGTCATACAGAAAATCGATTTGGTAGAAAGTATGAAAGCACTTATCGTTACACAAAAGATCTTAGCCTTTCTAGTAAAATCTGACTATTCTTGCGACCGCCTTAGCAGTAGCATAACAGTCAAATAGCTGACCTTTTCATTAAGTGATAAACTTTAAGATCATTCGTTAATTTTGTGATCGTTTATGAAATGTAAAATTATTCAGGACTTTGATTAATCTGGAAATAATAGCCATCATTATGAAATAATATTCTATTCAGATTTCAATGTGATTGACTTACATTCTTGTCTCGTTTATACATGTTAAATGATTTAGATTGCTAAGCATTTATTTTATGTTATACTATTTGCTTTAAACTGTTGTGCATTGATTATCAAATGGCTTTCAAAAGTGTAAAGTTAATTTATCAATTAATTAAGTTTAAGACTGGTCTATTCTATATTAAATATTCTGCAGTTTAAATCATAATTACTTTCTTCATCATTTTCAAATTAGTTATTGTTAATTTTCACACTCACTTATCCTATTTATTACAGTGTTAGCGATTCTTGAATCAATTTTCCATATTTGTGACAATTTTTAAAGCAAAATTTACTCTGGGTTCTAGTGTCAGAAAATTATTGCATGTGATTTATTAAAGTTAGTAGAATAATCAAAGATGGATAGTGGCTAACAATGGAATTCAGGACGCGCGTTTCGTCTTGTTTGGGACTCATCAGCTGGATGTGCCTGGATCTCAGAGTTGATGTTCATTCTGGGACTCAAACCTAGTACCTTTCACTTCAAACGCCATCGCGTTATCCGCTCGGCAACTGAGTCCTGATAGCCACTTGCTTGTGCGATGGGGTGAAGTTTAAATTCATTTAGTATTGATTTTTTGAATCTATATTAATTTTTAGGACTGCAATTGGAGTGACCTTGAAATTTACTTAGTATTGTTTGTTTGGACCTTCCCATTGATGCCAATTAGAGACTGACCAGTTGTAGTCCTAAAAAGCATCAATGGGAAGATCCAAACAAAAAATACTCAGCAGAATAATGTTTGCTGGTGTGTGAATAAACTAGAAAAAAGCTAGAAGAGAGTAAACGAAGACATTATATCAATACACAAGGTAATTGGTTGTTGAGCTAACGTTTATCAATAGGTACAAACTACATTGAGGTCCACTCGAGTATCATAACCACTAGTTTGAGATGTTGAATTGTGGTGGCATGGCTCAAAATTAATCTCAACGGTTCGAATGTATTCATTCTTTATCATTCCTTACATATTGAGTTTCAAAATTACCCCTATACGTGATATGCATTAAATTGATTTCTGATTCTAGATCCATATCCTTTATACTTAATGTTTTCATTCTTTACTGTTACTAATGTTGCTAGCAGTTGTACTATCCTGACGTTTGTCTTGATAATTTCATCAAACTGTGATGATATAGTGTGACAAATTGAACCGATCCTGTTGTGACTTTACAAAGGCCGTCGCCAATTTGTTATGACTTTACAAAATATACAAAGGACGTATGCTTATTCGTTATTGATTTTTGTGTCCGGTTTTTATCACGTGAATTATCCACCAATCGAAATACAACTTTTCTAATCTCAATACTGTGCCAAAACAATGACGTTCAACGGGTATGGGCAGTCTAGCGTTCTTATTGGTCCCTTGTCCGCCTAGCCCTTCCAATTGAGTTCGGAACACCAATTACAGCTTTTGTTATGCGAATCATTTATTTCAAGCATACTCGGTTTATATACCAGACAGGCAGACGGCATCACACCACAAAATAGAAAATAATATTTGTACAAGATCAGACCAAATGTGGCTGTGAACGTGGGAGACCATAATCAATAAATTGAATATAATTTAGGGACAGTAATTCGTATAATAATAATCCATAGGTCAAAATGAAGCTTATAACAAGATGAATATAGTTATACACAATCTAGTTACTCAATAGTTAAACAATATGAATATACATAAAATAATCGTTCATTAATAGCTCCCGGAAATTACCCTTACTTAAGTCTTCACTAGGATATAACAGATCCAAATACTTGTCAGATTCTATATTGTTTATGATCGACTTAATATTATAAATCACTTTATATTAACTATTATGCATAATTCTAATCAGATTTATTAACTAATGTTTCATTTTATTTATTTTCATTTGAAAGATTACTGAACAATAATGAACAATGTATTAGATATTAATTTAACCTTTACAACTATACTATTACACTATGACTATTCATTCACATACAGTCCACAAATAAAGAATCAATATTTTTAAACAATAAATTTTTGCGTTAATCATAAATCATTTCAGTGAAGAAAAAACAGTTTCACAGAATTATACAATCAATGATACTTTCAACAAAAAAGAAAAAAATGAAGGAAGGAAGAAAAAGAAAAAAAATTTGCCTTACCTCTCCTATTCCACTAATTTCATCGATATATACTTATTTAATATTGTCATAGAGTCATTACCATTTTCACTTTATCTATCTATCTATCTATATATATATATATATATATATATATATATATTTGAACAATAAGAATATTTTGATTTTTATATAAATGAATATTTTCATTATATTATATGCAAAAATTTTAAAAAGATAGTTCAGTTCATTAGTTCTATGTTGTTGTTACTTTTTAAAAATTAATCGGTAAAACAGGACAATATTGACGGTGATAAGCTTGAATAAATCTTGATTATATATAGTTGAAATGATGAGTCAATTGAAGCTAGACCACCATGAAAAACCTGAAAGCACTGGACGACCGTTTCGTCCTATTGTGAGACTCCTCAGAAGTGCGCATCTACAATCCCACCTCGTGAACGAGATTCGAACCCAGGACCTATCAGTCCCGCGCGCGAGCAGTTAACCGATAGACCACTTAGCCGGCCGGCATCCAACAGTGTTAATGTCTAACTTCAACCAATCCACGAAATTGAGCAACCATTTCACCAATGTCTTCAGTAAGTAGATATCTTCCAACAGACCTGGTTGAACTCCACTGGTTACTGCTTCTCACTAGAACTCCAAGAAATACCTCATGGAGTCAGTCTAGATTATGTAATTTATATTTTGAAAATAATTACAAATTGTTCACCGATTTACAAGGATAATCAAGGTTGATAAAGAAAAAAAGTAATGGAACATTAAAAACAATAAGGATGTGTATTATTTAAAAACAAGTGATTCATAAGCTTGAATGTATGTATGAATGTAAAATATACTATGTTGGTGAGATGCATAATCTGAAGTAATATCATTTCGGTGTATAGCATTATTATCGGAGTATACAACTTAATCAACATCTGTCTTATAATAATAGATCTGTCTGTAGTCAAGAGTGTAACATGGTCATATGTTCACTGACATAGTCACAACTTTATGAGTGTTTTCTAATGATAAATATCCCATACAATGCAACAGTCAGAAACTAGTATTTTCTTGATAGAAGGACTGTTATGTCATGCTTAAGAAAGTGTAGTTTAGTCATGAATTATTTCAACTACGTCAAAGGGTACTTATAATCATCTACAATTAGAAGTGATGAGAATGAAAATGGAATAACAAGGAAAATTCTTGTGATAGGTCTATCATTATTATGTTCTTGATCGTTTCATAACATACAGATCTAGATAAAAATTATTTGAACCAACCAACTATTCTGTATATATCCTTACAATAGCGGAAGGTCTGTTAGGATAAGGTCTGGAACTAACCAGGAATAATATAAGTTTGTAGTGAAATCAGCATGAAGGAAATTTTGGCAGGTATACTCGATAATAACAATATCTACCTATTTAAAGTCCTTATAATTTCACTAATGAAGTGACACATGTTCTTCAATTTAAGGACTTTTAAGTTAGTATAAGAAGAGAAGAAATTATTGTTATGTCGTGCAGACGTCGGTAATAAATTAGTATCATGGATACATTTTGACAATTTATTCCAGACTGTCGGAAATAAACTAGTCGATTAATTTATACAAATATTCATCATTTTTAATCAACTGCTTACAACCATATATGCATTGAAATGTAACATTGAGGTAATATGTAATGTGAAACAATTGACATTATTGACAGAAAGAATTAGAATAATATTGTCGATATCATTTTTTTATAATCCTTGTCATTTTAATTCTTATCGTCACCACTGTCAATTATGTCACATTATATTTTACCTCAAAGTTACATTTCACTACATAAATAGTTATAAGCACCTGAGGAGAAACCACTGAAATAAACAGATTTTTTTTAGACTATTTCTAATGGCTCAATGCAAATAATGAGTTACAGCGCAGGCTTCTGTCAGCCATACAGAACCAATCTTCTAAAGCCTTATAATCTGTTTAGCAACCAGTAATATGTTTTTCTAGTCAACAGGGATTAAATAGTTTTGTCATATACCACTTAGTTAAGTAATACATCACTAGGAATAGCATTTATTACTTAGTAATTAAGGAAATCTAAATTCAGTACTGTTTCATTTTCAGATAAACTCACAGTTTATTTTAATTTAACTCTGAACACAATGATCATGAAGATGATGGTCGTTTGGTTAATCCACATTTTCCTAATTATTTCACTCCGATTCATATGTGTGTATCAATACTTCAGAAGTTATTTACTGTGTTCAACAACAAATCTATAAAATAGCACACTCATACACTTGAGTATATACAACGTTACTTATTATATGTACCAAGAAAAATTCACCATCTTGTTTTGGTTAACCTTACATACTGTATGTGTACAGAGATAGAAATTATTTCAGTCGGTGATATAATATGAAAGTAATGAAATGTTGACCTACACATATTTGTGGATTGTTTACTATTTTCACTGACTATTCTTTTTCAAAATAGATCGATCAACTTTCTTCTAGCTTTGGTTAAAATAAACCTAAAGTTAATTATTGTCTCTATGAAGAATATCATGTTTGTTTGCATATTCTGTTTCACATTCATATTGATGGTATACCAGTTGACAAATTAGTGATCATCCACAGACTTCCTCGACGAGTGGTAATGGCTGGTTTAAGAGTAAATTGGATTAAAGCTGAGGGTGGATAATTTTTTTTTATCTGAACACAAATATTGGTACAAGGGGGCACCAAATATGTATGCACCACACAAAAAACTGTCATTTCATTTAATTGTGTGATGGCTATAATGCTGCCCGGGTGCCCAGACCGAAGCAGGTGGCTATCTTAGGGGTCCACACCGCGAGTCTTCGACCCAAAGGTTTGACCCACAAGGCAGTTGAGCAAACTTGAGTGATGCAGTCTCATGGTAGCCAGTGACCAACGATTGGTTCATACGCCATTTGTTCCTTCAGGATACTGAAGCTCATGTGCACCATTGGTTTAGAATCAGGGTTTTCCACCAACCCGGTTAAGTCACCGGACATCCGCTTTTCGTCCTCTCAATCTCGTAAACACCCCCGTCACGAGAATGCGGTGAGTAGAACTTCCCTGGCAGAGGCTGTATACGAGTGGCAGTGTGACAGCATTTCGAGAGAGGGCAGGCCCTCTTCACTCTCGGCCGTACCAGGGCATTTGGGGGAAAGGTGGATAAACGAAGTGATAGTATCAGTCTATAAAGATACTGACTGTTGGACCGAGTCATGTAGGTAGATGCAAACTATGTGGTTGAATTCAGTGGGTTTATCGCAACCGATGTTTAGACTTTGATTAATATGACTCAAAATCGTTCGCATTGGCGCACGTGCACTCAGTTTGTCTTTCCTTATATTTTAAATGCCCTATTAATCTTTTTTTTAAAATCTTTTTAATCTTTTTTTAAACTCCGCCTGTAGCTCCTCCAGTGGCTACTGCCGGTCCCAAGCTCGGGTAAAGGAGGAGTGTTGGGCATGGGGTTTCCGACCCCATCCCGTAGAAAATCAACTCGCTAAAAAAACGCTAACCAGAAAAAATCATTCAAGCCATTTAAACTCTGCCCTGGGAGTAGAAGGAATAATTATGACGTCTCATGATGAAAGCCGAGTTCATTCGGAAGTCATGAGGCCGATGCACATTCTTACAACCAGAGCGACAATTTTTTTAGGTATATGGAATGTCCAGACAATGTGGGAGACCAGAAGATCCTTCCAAATTGCTACAGAAATGAGAAAATACAACCTGGAAGTGCTTGGAATCAGTGAAACACATTGGACGCATGTTGGACAACAACGACTGTCTTCAGGAGAACTTCTGTTATACTCCGGTCATGAAGAAGAAAATGCTCCACATACACAAGGAGTTGCATTGATGCTGTCCAGAAAAGCACAAAATGCACTTGTAGGATGGGAAACTCATGGACCAAGGATCATCAAAGCATCCTTCGAAACGAAGAGAGAGGGCATTACAATGAACGTCATCCAATGCTATGCACCTACCAACGACTACGATGAAGACGCTAAAGACCAATTCTACGATAGTCTGCAGTCGATCTTCGAGAAGTGTCTAACCAAAGACCTGACTTTTCTGATGGGAGATTTCAATGCCAAGGTTGGAATGGACAACACTGGATACGAAGACGTCATGGGACGACATGGACTGGGAGAAAGGAACGAAAATGGTGAGAGATTTGCAAACCTATGTGCCTTCAATAAACTGGTCATAGGTGGCACCATATTCTCACACAAAAACATACACAAAGCCACTTGGATTTCATCGGATCATACTACACAGAATCAAATCGACCATGTCTGCATCAACAAAAAGTTCAGGAGGACGATGGAGGATGTGAGAACCAGAAGAGGAGCTGATATAGCATCCGATCATCATTTTCTGGTCGCCAAGATGAAACTAAAACTTAGGAAGCAGTGGACAACGGCGCGGACAACATCACAAAAGTTTATAACGGTCTTTCTTCGAGATGCTGACGAACTCAACAAATTCAACATATCTCTCAGCAACAGGCTCCAGGCCTTTCATGATCTACTCAATGGAGAGGGAACTACTATGGAGAGCAACTGGAAAGGTATCAAGGAGGCAATCGTTTCAACATGTCAGGAGGTTCTGGGCCAAAAGAAGCACCATCACAAGGAATGGATCACTGTTGGTACACTGGATAAAATTGAAGAAAGGAGGAACAAGAAGGCAGCAATCAATACCAGCCGAACCAGAGCGGAAAAAGCCAAAGCACAACCCGAATACACAGAGGCAAACAAGCAAGTGAAGAGGAGCATCAGAACCGACAAACGTAAATATGTGGAAGATTTAGCAATGACAGCGGAAAAGGCTGCAAGAGAGGGAAACATGAGACAACTGTATGATACAACAAAGAAACTTGCTGGAAATTACCGTAAACCAGAAAGACCAGTGAAAAGCAAGGAAGGCAAAGTAAT